GAGAATTTTCACTTAAGGGAAGTACTTTATGGCTTCTTTTTGGCATATCCAAATTACCAGCATCACTACTCTTGTGCTTAGGGGCCATTATTAAGTCAAATAAGGATGACTTGAACCCAGGCACTACAATGCCGTGACAGTCGATCTGAAAACCAAGATAATACCAAGTGACGGATGGGTAGTAGCATCTACAGCGTGGATCCACTAGACAAAGGCATGATTGATGTCTCAGGCAAGTCGGAGCTGGACCATGCACAATCTCATCACACTACTCAGAACAGCTCACAATTTAAAACTTATGAACAATTTATTTCTGGGATTTTCTATTTAATATTTTCTGACTGTGGTTGATCACAGGTAACTGAAACTATGGACCATGAAACTGTGGATAATGGGGGACTACCGTAAATCAAGAGGTATATCACATTTTGGATAGGAAGATTCAATATTATAAAGTCAATGCCCCACCCCAATCAAAATTCTAACAGGATTGTTTGTTGAACTTGATAATATGAGTCTAATAAATTTATACAGGAAAGCAAAGGATCAGGATAATCTGAAATAAGAAATATAAAGTGGGAGACTTGCCAACTGATGACTTGTGGGTGTAGCAATCAGGACAGTGTGGTAATGGAATTGACAAAAGACTGATGGACCAGGAAATCCCTGAGACAGACCAACATGTGTATGAAAACTCAATGATGACAAAATCAGCGTGAGAACATCAGTGGGGAAATGATATGCCATTCAATGAATCATGCTGGGACAAGGTGTTACCCCTATGGAAAAGAAAATAAGTATAAAGACCAATCTCATGTCATACAAAATTTTAAAAAATCAATTCTATGTGAATTTATGACATAAATGCGAAAAACCTCTAATATCAATGACAATACCTCCTGGATTCCAAATTCATTCATCCAGCTTCCTGGTGGCTGCCACCCCTTGGATACCTAGTAGATACTGTGAACCTAACACGATCTTCCCCTGCCTTCAGTCCATTCTTCCCACACTTTCCCCATCTCAGCAACTCCAGAAACTCCAGCCTTCCCCTTACTCAGACCCCAAACGTGGTGCCATCTTCCTGCTTTCTCTCACATCCTACGTCAGCAAAGGCTGTCAGCTCTGCCTAGCCTGAGCAGGAGGGCCAGGGGATCCGGCTGTCCCTGCAGTTGCCAGTCTTTCCTCAGCCTTCAACAGCTAATCTTTTTATGGGGTATGCAGAAGATGGGATGCAGAGGTGGGGTGTGTTACAACTGGAACCTTTCTAAAAAATTTTTTCAAAAGGCTTACACAGATCTATTTTCTCAAGTCCTATACACCAGGGGTCCCCAACCTATGGTGAGTTGTATAATAATTTCATTATATATTACAATGTAATAATAATAGAAATAAAGTATACAGTAAATGTAATGTGCTTGAATCATCTGGAAACCATCCCTCCACCCCTACTGCCCGCCCTGGTTCATGGAAAAATTGTCTTCCGTGAAAATGGTCCCTGGTGCCAAAAAGATTGGGGACTGCTACCATACAAAGTCATATATTACCTGAAAGTTTGGCCTTTGAAAGACAGTTATTTCAAAAGACAAGCTTCATATTTCTGCTGGGTCTTGGAGTGATTGTGAGGGTACCTCAAATCTTCATGTATCATGTTTATATTTCTGGTTTGACAGATAGGAAAGTATAATAATTTATGTCATGTGGGAGGGGAGTAGCAAAAAAAAGTATGTTAAAAAGGGATCCTCGTAAATGAAAATGTTGTGACCTACCTTAGAGACCAGCATATTTTCGGAAGTAAAAGTAAGTTTACATTTTCATGAATGTCCTGGAGCTTCCAAAACAGCTGCTACCAAGCCCAGGTCGTCTTTTGTTTTTCAGATTAGGTAACTCCTGTCCCCTGGCCAGGCCATCCTCAGGACTTAACATCTTATTTTATAGGCATTTCAAAAAACGGTGGTTCTTTCTCTGGTCTATTTATCTGGTTTCATTTTATTGACTGGCTGCTCAGTCACAGAGATACAGGAATGAATAAAACTGATCTCACCTAAACATCTGGCTAGATTTTATAGGAGAAAATGAGGAGATTGGGAGGGGCAGATGGGAACGAGCTGAAAGAATCCCCCTTGTTGAACACAGACATCACAGTGGCACCGAGAGTGGGTGGAACACACGCCTGGGTTGCCGTTCCATGTGGGATGGATGCAGGGTAGCTCTGGGATCTCTTCTTTTATGGTTAAACCAAGCAGAAAAGGCGGATGCTGTTTCACTAAGATTTCCATCAAGTATAGTTATAGAAAATAAGTTTTGGCTGTATTTGGAAAATTTCCTAAACCAGCTGAATAAAGGAGACATAACTCTAATGAAAAGAGTTGTAATTTCTATTGTGTGTGAAATACATGTGTGTGTATTAATAGGGCTCCTTGAGTTTGGATTTGGCTTATTACAAAGAACAGTTTAAAATCCAGCTTTTAAAATGTGCCTCCTCCTTCTACCTTTTTCTTCCCTGTCACTCCCTCCCTTCTCCCTTGATGATTTTTATTTGTTTCATAGAGAACCTAATGGCTAAGAGGTAATAAGAAGTGGAAAGTATATACACAAAAGGATAATGCTAAAAAAGTTAATTTTTACAGTCAGTTATTTGGAAATTGTAGTGTATTTTCCCACTGAAACAAAGTAATTCGTGGCTGGCTTCCCAGGGCAACCCACAAAAGCTTATTTAATCTATAATGTCTGCAGTATAGTACTGTGCTAATTGCACCATAGAACCTAACCACCATCCTAAGGTTCCCATGGATAAATTCATTTCAAATGTAAATTGGGATTCCAGGAACACATTGTCCCCTGCTTCCCTGAAGAGTTTGGTGGCTGCCCTGTCCCCAGTTCTTGCCCACCTCCTCCTCCCCACCACCCCCACTATGGTCAGAGCTGACATGCACAGGGTCTTATGCCATGGGTGCTTTTTCATCTGAATTAAAGGGAGAATTCTCAGCTGGAAGCCATAGGGCATGGCTCTGGGAGTCTGAGGCAGAGAAGCCCAGAATACCAAGAGCTAGAGGGAGCCACCTCAGGGGTGAAAGAGGGTCAGGGACTTCAGTGAGAATTTGTGGGGTTGCATCTTCCTGTAAAGAGTTCCCTACGTGGATAGTGTATTCTAGAAACCAGAGAGACGGACAATCTGCTGGCTTCTTTCCTTGATAGGTAGTTCTTGGGCTGGGCCCTTGGGCCAGGTGCAACCCTGATTCATTCCCCTGTGGCTGAGGGGTGTGATCAGATACAGCTGCCTATGACTTCCTGTGAGAGGGGACAGTGGCCGTAGGTGCTGAGATTGACATCCTGAGCACAATGTTTCCCAAAGATGCCCATACATCTGGCAGTGTCCATACATCTGGCAATACCCAAGATGCTTTTTCTTGATACATGCATGAGAAATTTTTGTTTTAAATAAATGTCATATCTTTATTTTTACAGTTATCTTCTATTTATAGTGAGGGATACTGGTTTTCCATTTATGGTACGGATATAAAGTTTTTACTAAAATTCTTATCTAAGCCAAAAGTGAATTGATTTAAAGAGAAAAATTGGAATTCAAGAACTGTACATATGTGAGAGATTGCTGTTTGGTGAACTGCTCTAGTAAAATGATATGCTCTCAAATGGGAAAAAGCAGCTACAAATAGGATGGATTGTGTGGTTCCATTTTTTTAAAACACACAAAGTACATTTCAACATGAAGCTGCCCTCAAAAACAGATAAGTTTGGAGACATAGAAACCAAAGTGTTGATAGTGGTTGGTTATCTATGTGAGGTGGTATTAAAGGTGATTTTTCAGATTTTTTTTCTCTTCTTGCTTATATTTTCTCATTTTTGTATGCCCTGAGAATGTATTCCTTTTGTGATGAAAACACAACCAGAAAGCATATATAACTTTCTATTCTCCCCATTGTCTCTTCTCCTTCTCCTTCAGTTATGTTTTCTTCTCCCTCATTCTGCTCAAGAAGGAAAATGGGTAACTCCTGCATTGTTTGTTTGTTTGTTTGTTTTAATACCCCTCCTGCTTCAGGATCCTACATTATTTTTTGAAGGAATATTTAAATCTTTTTTTCCTCTAACTTAAGATAACCAGATCACATTTTGCTGAGAAAGTAAAAACTACATTTAAATTTATGCACAATGTTTCTTCATGTAGTAAACTATATGCTATCTTTAAGTGATAGCTCTTGCTGTCTTGATGGGCCACAGGACAGGGTAGCAGCTGGGTGGGATTGTCAAGACGGTCCCTCTGGACGACCACTAGAACATGAGCTGGCATGCCTGCTTCCTTCCCTGGGCTTTATAAACTCTCCAGGTTGCCTTACTTAAGCAAGGCTCTGCAGACTCTCCATTTCTGCAGCTGGATCAGGTGATATCTCAGGTGCTCAGATTCCATATGAATCAATTAGCCAAGGGACCAGGGCTCAGAGTTTGAAGAAATTGCTTAATGATGCTGATCGAGATGGAGCTAAACTCTTAGCTTTGCTGCTGTGCATAGGTTACCAATTCATCCCAAGTTGCCCGGGACTTTTTTTTAAATTTTTTTAGCACTGAAAGTCCTATATCCTGTGCACCCCCTGGGTCTTGGGCAAAGAGACACAGTTGGCAACCCTCTCTGTATGTGTTAGGCCCAACAGTGATATTAACAACATGGAGAGGATAGGGAAAACTGTGCAGTCAAATATTTTCCTAGCCAATCTCCAAGGGAAGAGTATTAGATACTTAATATGATAGGTATAATATTTTCCCAATGAAACATAATTTTAAATAAAAATTTAGTTGATGGCACCAGTTGTACTGAGAAATGTACTCCCAAAGTTGCTACAACATCATTCTCATCTTTTCCAAAGATTATCAAACCTCATACAGTGGCTGCTGAGCTCCAGTAGCCAAAGGAAGGAGACAATGACACGTCCTCATCTCACTTTTGGTAATCTTATTCATGTTTGCAATTTTGATCATTTCCACAGAGAAAAAGCAAACCTTGCCATCACTCTCCACAATGACAAGGAAGAGATCATGGCCCAGGCCACCTTCCTGGACTATCCCAACTGGAATGTTGCCAAGGAGGACGACTGGGTGTCAGTGTTTCGGGAGCTCGACAGCGATATCCCTTGCACAGTAAGAAATCAAGCACAATGCTTATTAGAACAGCCTGAATTTTGAAGGGAGGTCCTGTGTTTGCAATTATGTCTTTGCAGATTTGGGACCAAGCAGTCCAAAACTCACAAAGAAAGTGTATGACATCATGACAGTTAAAAGTGAAGTTAGCTGGTAGGGAGGAAAGGAAGGCTGAGAGTGAGGCCAGAGGGAAAAGGAAAGGGTAGGAAGTAGCCCAATCAGCCAGCCACTGGCAAGGCCCAGATCATTTTCAGCTAATGAGGGCTGAGAGCAGGAATTAGTGGAAGTGTCAGACATGTGCTTCCCAGGTTTCACATTGTTCTCTGGGCGTCAGTGTCCGAGGTCTTTAATATGCTAGGAGGCTACCTGTCATCTACACATTTGCCCTCGTAATAATGACAACAGAGCGTCAGACTTATGTCATACTCTGTGATTTTCAGAGAGCCCTCATGGACTTTGGCTCACTTGATGTCTTCTAGCTGCAGGCACATGACAACCTGTCGGCTAACAGGAGCTAGGTTAGTGGTTCCCAGGAGTCCAGCCTGGGTACCTGGTGCCAAGCCAGAGCTTTCCCTGCATGAAGCCTGCCAGAGACTGGCCCCAGTTTCTGTGGAGAGCCAGAGGCTGCAACTCTGAGCAGCACCATGCCTGTTGGTGGAATTCAGCAGCATGTCCCCAGAGCCCTGATGTCAGAAAAAGATGGAATGCCAAATGGGTGCATGAGTGAATTCACCCCTCCCACATGTGTGTTCTTGCACACACACACACCCCACTAAGCAAATCATTCAGCATTTATTGAGCTAGATGGTGCCTTCCCATTGTCTTTTGTGCTCCTTCCTACCCCTGCCACCCATACACCCAAGTGTCACTGTCAAAAAATTATCCCAAACTCAGAAATAGACCAAAAAGATTCTTTCAGTCCAATACTTGCACTTCTGACTTTCTATTGAAAGTCTACTTTGCAGTTCTGTGGGAGCAGCAATTAACTTGCAGATTTTTGTCCATTTCGATATAAATAATTGCTCAGGTGAAAGAGCTAACTTCAAAGGTTATGGTTTATGGCCTTATAAGATGTTAACCATTTTGTATCTAACCCAACAATCTTATTCTTATATTCCCTTATTAAATCACCTGAAGTATCCAGCTCTTCAAGTACAAGGAATCGTTTTTATCATCTCACTAATTGCCTCATTAATTGATGAGTTAAAGTTGAATAAATCTCTGACATGTGTTCATTTTATATTTGCATTAGGGTTATGATTTTGCCTTTTTGAAAATTGTAAATTAACACTATTATTCATAAACTCATTTCACTTTTGTTTCTTGTTCTCTTAAGGTTGTTTCTTTTTGAGCTATTTCCAATAACAGTATAGAGTTGGGCCATCCAATTTGGTAGCCACTAGCCATAGGTAGCTATTGAAATGCAGCTGGTCTAAATTGAGGTGTGCTGTAAGTCTAAAATATATAACAGGTTGCAAGTACTTAGTAGGGAGAAAAAAGAGTGTAAAATATCTCATTAACAATTTTTATACGGATTACTTGTTAAAATGATAATAATTTGAATACATTAAGTTAAATAAAATATATCAAACATTAATTTCACTCATTCTTTTTTAATGTATCTACTAAAAAATTTTAAATTACATTTGTGGGGCTTGAATTATTTTTCTGTTGGACGGCTCTAGTATAGAGCTTTAAGGTTTAATGTATTACCTATTCTAAGGATATTTGCGACTGAGGTAATGATTTTTATCTTAAAGCTAAAGAATAAATTTTGAATTGTAATATTTCTGATGGAAGAGAGAATTTGGGAGACAAATCAAGCAAGTAATAAACCGTGTACTCCTAAGACTAGTCCTATTCAGAATGTAAGGCAGATGTTGAATAAGATTATGGTAGGATTAAATGAACTAATACATAGCAAGTGCTGAAAATCGTTTCATCGTCGTCATCTGGACTTTAGGGTTTGTGTTTGCCTTTTGGAATTTTTCAAGCTTATGAATCAAACTCGTGATTCTTCTCTTGCCTTTTCTTGCACAGTACAATTTCTTCCAAGCATTTCTGAGTCAGACACCATCCAACAGGAATGGAGACGAGGCACATCACGCAAGGCTATCTGGAAAATAACTCAGAAAAAAAGAAACACAGGCAGTGCTCCTGCTATTCTGATTTGGGTGCAGTCAACCACTTCACATTTGTGCTATTTCTAGAATTTAAGGATTTGCTTGTGAACAGAGGAGTACTGAGTTGAGCAGATCAGTGTGTAGATGTTATTTAGGCCACTTAAAAAGTCTTTGAAACTGTGGGACAAAGCTCTTTAAAAACTTGGAAGATTTAGCCTGAAAGTCATGTTAGAATCTTGCTGCTTCGAGTTTTCGGCTCCCAGGTTTTCTGGATCCCAAGAGTAATATTTGATTCTGACTCTGGGAATGTTGAACAAAACAAGCCATTGGATTCATAACGTGGCATCTGCCTTCCACCCTTCAAATTCATAAGAGAATCTTTCCCTCATGTCACATGAATAGAGCAGCAGCTGCTGACACAAGAGCCTTGGGAAAAGGGTGATTGTCTTTCACTTGGCATAGACACCCCTGAGGACAAGACTACTGAGTTAATAATCGATTTCACTCCCCTGCAGGCTCTTCCCTGCCCACAGCTCATTCGTGAGGGCAGGAGGAAGGGCAGGCGCTCTGGCCTCATTTACGATCCCTGTTTCCTTGAATAATTCTGAACTAGGAGCACAGAAGGCAGCAAACAGAGCCAGTGAGACAGCTCAAAGGCCGCCTGCTTGTCTCATCCTTAGACATAAAATATCATCTCCGAGTGCTGGCAGCTGTGTCTGTGGCTGCCCTGAAACCCTCCTCCCAGCTTGCACTCACCTAGCCTGAGTGCTGACTCAGCCTTTAATTCGTGTTCTCTCTTTTTCTTCAGCCTCTGAATACGTTATTTATGCACCTCTTTGTGGCCGTGGATGAGTATTCCGTCGACTGCTGCAAAGAGATTATTCTGTGAGTGGATGGGGCCTTACAGATGGTGAACATGAAAGAGACCCTGTGGGTAGTTTTGAAATATTTTTTTAAATGACATGAAATTCTTTGGGGTGTTTATTTTACTTGTAGTTTTGGCTATATTAAGGTATTTATTTTGAATAGCGGTGATATTTCTGAAAGAAAATAATTCTTTGAATCTATTCTCCATTCCATAAACTGTTATCATTTGAGTAAAATGGGTAGTGGAGTCATTTAAAGAAATGGATTTGAGGCCAGGCATGGTGGTGCATGCCTGTGGAGGGGCTGAGGCAAGAGGATTGCTTGAGGCCAGGAGTTCAAGGCCAGCCTGAGTAATGCAGGGAGACCCTGTCTCTAAAAAAAAAAAAAAAAAAGAAAGAAAGAAAGAAAAAAATGGATTTGCGGGGAGTAGGAGAATAGTAAAGCATTACAAGCTTGGGTGCTTCTAAAAACAGTTTTCCTCAATCTTATCTTTAGAAATGTTTATTAACATGACAGACTGCAGAAGCATCCTGAATACTAGGGTGCATAGAAATATGATCAGCAGAACTACTGAGTCATGGTGATGCGTCTTTGACAGCCTGCACAGACATTTGGGGGCAGTGGCCTCAGCTTTCAAATCACTTTGTAATGTCACACCAGACCATCCAGATGCCAGGTCAGAGGTTAATATTAGCAGAAATCTGGTGTGCCATATGAACATGGCATGCTTTATTCTCTCTCCCTCCATGGGACTGATAGAAAAGAGGCCCTTTGGAATCCAAGGAAAAGTAGAGAAGAAAAAAAATTGCCTTAAAGATGTTCTTGCCTCTGCAGGCAGGGTGCAAAGGAGCCCACGTAGATTTATGAACACCCCATTTTTTTACTGATAGCATTTATCTGCATAAAGTGCTAGCTAATGAGATTGCTTTGTTATTAACATTCATCCTCTCTTTCCTTGCCAGAACCGTGTTTAAGGCAGTGCCAGAGCTGCACTTCATATTTCTCATAGTGCCATCCTACATGAGCCTAGGTAAGGTCCACTCAGCCACCTCCTGTCCCAAGTAGTGAACACAGAAAACTCATGCTCAGAATGGTGCTTTGGGGAATGGGAAATAAGAATTGTCTCCAAGTCCTAAATGTGTCATGTGCATATTTGATTATAACAATTAAAATACAATTTAGGATGGAAACTACATTTTGTTCTGAAGTCCCAAAGTTATTCCTTGGCAAAATGAGGACATGTTTCTTTGTCTCTGTGATTTAGGCTCGACCCTCGTAACTGTTTTTGACCAAGTGGGGAACGTTCCATGTCTAACACACTCAGAGGACTTCGCAGTGCACGTATGTCACAGGCACAACCACTACCCTCAGCTGCACATTCGCAAAGCCAGGTATAGTCGAAGCAGTGCCTTGTACAACCTAAGCTTCACTGGGACAGTCACCGTAACAAGAGTCTTTGAATGACCAATGCTAAATGAGCATAGCTTGGATTAAACTTTTTTTATAATACCTATAAGCATTACTTCATTTGGAGATGTTTATAGTTTCCCTTGATGACATAATTGCAGAACTAACTGATGATACTCATTCGGTTCTATGTGGCTGTAAAGTTATGCATTTACTTCTTAGGGGTTTCTGAAAATACGTAATCCTTGGTTCCACACCAGTAGAATAACTTCCAAATAAAAAAAAACTTAAAAATGAATCTACCTATTCAGTTTTCCCAGTAAAACCCACCTATTTTCTGACATTCAGTGAATAAAGATGCTACTGACCCCAAGGAGGATTTTTCCAAGTTGAAGGTCTTTGCCATCAAGTGCCCCATGCGAAAGGCCCCAAGTCCAGCGATCTTAAGGAGCTGGCTGTGGCTGACTGTTTTCCAAAGATGGCCACCACACCATTTCCCACCCTGCAGGCTCCCCTGCAGTGTGACCTTGCCATTCATCTCATCAAGCCATGGGGTCTGCCTCCCCACTGCGTGAAGCTTTGGCTGATAGAGTGCAGATGCTGGATGTGACTGCTTCGACCAATAGAGTGTAGCAGAAGGGATGCTCTGAGACTTAGGAGGCTGGGAAGCTTCTGCCTGGTTCTCTTGGGATACTTGCTCTGGAGGAAGTCAGCCATGTTTAAGAAGTCTGCATTGGCCACATGTCATCACGAGGGTCAACAGCCCCAGCTGGCTCCCGCTGACCATCAGCATCGACTGCCGGCTGTGTGAGTGAGCCATCGTGGATGTCCAGCGCAAGCGAGGCCCCGTATATTTGCCATGCAGCTGACATCCGATTGTAACCACATGAATGACCCCAAGTGAGGACTGCCCAGCTAAGCGCTGCCAGAGTTCTGGCTCACGAAATTGTGAGCAAAATAGAGTGGCTGTTTTGAAATAAGAGTACATTATGAAATCATTTCACAAGGGTGATTGGTTGGCTTATCAATAAAGAATAAATTGTATCTTTTGGATCAACCATTGCCATATTTGAAGAATGCTGAATTTCTTTAGAAAAGTACTGAATTTAAATTTCTAAAAAGTGAGAATAGGTGTGTAGTATTATGGCATCATTGTTAAACGCTTGAGATGCTGGCATCAGATAGATCTAGATTCTTATCTTGGTTCTACTATTCACCAGACGGGTTAACTTACGAAAGGAACATGACCTCTGCAGGGCTCAGTTTCCTCTCTGTCAGTGGGCATAAGTGTATTGTCTGTGGATGGGATGTTGTGATGATCGATGAGCTAATGAAAGTCAAGCACTTAGCGCACTTCCCGTCACATGTAAGTGCCCAAGAAATATTAAATATTATAATTACAAAGGGGCTTAGAGTTAAGTGGGGGAGAGAGACCCATCTAGAATAAACTTGATGTGCGTAGCTTAGAATAGGGAAGTGCAGAGAGAGAAGACAACTTCACTACACCCTCCTCCTGTCCGCCCCCCGAAAAAAACCTTTTAAATGTCCATCAGTGAGTAAATGCGTTTACACTTACAAACTGTGATACATCATACAGTGTTTATTACTCAGCAATTCAATGGAATGAACTACTTAAACAACAACAGCGTGAATTAATCTCAGGAGGTTTATGCTGAGTAAAGGCAGACATAGAAACAAATACTCTATACAGTACTGTTGATTCCACTTTTATGATTTACTAAATGGGCAAAACAAATCTGTAGAGATAGGATTCAGATCAGTGGTCGCCTGTGGTGGAAGAAGGGTGAGACTGGAAGGGACAGGATGGAATTCCAAGATGATGGCAACACTCTGTATATTGATGGAGGTGTATGTCCAAATGCATCAAACTGGACTCTTAAGATCTATATACTTTACTATATGTTATTATACCTCAAAGAAAAAAATAATTTGAAAGAAAAAAGGCTTCACAGAGAAGGTGGCCTCCAAATCTTCTCCGGAAGGATGAGTCAGAATTCAGTCAGAGAGGCAAAATGGGCAAAGGCATGGAGGCAGAATGTCCCCTGGAATGACCATTCACAGGCAGGCAGATGTGGCTGCTGTTCCAGGTGTGGGAGGAAGAGCAGACCACTGGGTAGCAAAGGCAGAACCAGAATTTGAAGACTATCCCGGGGTCAACAGGGAGCACTGAAGAGTATACGGGCTGTTTGTTTAAAAAATAACTCTGATTTTCATGTGATCAGTGACTTCCAGGGGAAGAACTCAGAATAGTTTGGCCACGAGTTAATACGGGCTGGAATTCTGAAAGTGATATGTCACAGAGATCCAGGTGGGGAAAAGTTCAGTGTAGGTGCATAGATGCAGAGAGGCGTTTCAGAGGGAAAGTGGCACTTGTTACCAGTTGAATGGAGAAGTTGAAGGATAAGAATGAGTTAATGGTGACTCAGGGTTTTCAGGTTTAGGGGGAATGGTGATTTCATTAGCTGAAAGTAGAAATAATAGATTTAGATGGACAGGAGAGAGTTGGAAATAGAAATTGAGAGAAGCCAGGTTGGAGATACACATTGCAAGTTGTCCGTTTGTAGGTAAGTGGGGACATAATAAAAATAAAGGAGATGGTCTTGTTCAGGAGGAGATTTTAAAGTGAAAAAGCAAAAGACCAGGACAGAATTTTGAAAGATGTACATGACGTAATAAGAAAGAAAACTAGAAGAGAGGGAGCAGAATGTGATAGAAATCAAAGACTCTTAAAGTGGCAAAAGATGCAGAGAAATCAAATCATCTGAGTACAAAAAAGGCCATTAGATTTGGAAATTTCAAAAGACACAGATGAGATGAATAAAATTAATACTTCTAGCAAACTGACCAAGAAAAAAGGAGACAAATTACCAATATCAGGAATGAAAGAGGTGGCATCACTACAGATGCTACAGACATTAAAAGGATAATAAGAGAGTACTCTGAATTATGTCAATAAATCCAATGATATAAATAAAATGGGCCAACTCCTTGAAAAACACAACTTACCAAAACTCATTTAAGAAGAAATAGATAACTTGAATCCTTCTTTATCTATTAAAGAAAATTTAGATGAATTTTGAGTAAGAAGGAGGGTGACTGCATGCCTGGACACTGGCTTCTCCCCCAAACCCAAGCCTGATTTGCTTCTCTTTTTCTCTTGTTCTCATGGCTCTGAACTCTGCCTTCCCCAGGGTTTGCGCCTCAGTTTTCTCTCAAACTCATCCCTTTGAATCCTCTGTGCCAACCTTGGACACTCAGTAACCAGTGTCCTACCTCTGGCCACTGGATTGGATTCTGATCATGTCTCTCTTTGAAGGACGAGTTGGACAGTGGAGGTCAAATTGCAGTGAACTGAATAAAAGAGAGATAAGGAAGTGAGGCAAGGGAATGGTCACCACTTTTTAGAGAAGTTTGGTGGTGAAAGAAAGCAGAGGGAGACCAGAAACTTAATCTGCAGATGTTGAGCATTATGCAATGTAATGCAATTCCATTTTTACTCTCCACGTAGAGCATTTGATTTGCATTCTGACAGCCTGACAGCATGTGTCTAAAAGTTCACCTGGAAGTAGAGTAAATTCAGATATAAATTATCCACCTAATTTAGGATGGGAGAGAGAAAATTCCTCATAGGAAACTACTTTTCATTACTTTCTTTTTATTAATACCTAAATACATTATAATCTTCTCTTTGTAAAACCCTTTTGATGATACAAATACTAATGCAAGCTAAAGTCATTCAAAGAAAAGAAATTTTGTGAATGAGATAACATTTTTAATTGGTTCTCTCACACCTTTCAAATCTTTATTCCTGATTTATAAAGTTTCTCTTGCTAGTGTCAGTAGAGGCAAGTAGGCCCCCTGCCCTTCAAGAAATTATACTCTTTAAAGAAATTTTATTTTAAATATACTTACAAGTAGGTAGTTTTTAAACTGTGAGAAATCTTCACAAATTAATTACTTTGGATCTCATAAGTAGTCTAACACTCTGGTCCCCAACCCCCAGGCTGTGGACCAGTACCAGTCCATGGCCTGTCAGGAACGGGATGGGGAGGCACACAGCAGGAGGTGAGCTGCAGGCAAGTGAGGATGTTTATAGCCGCTCCCCATTGCTGGCATCACCGCCTGAGCTCCACCTCCCCCCACTGCCAACTCCCCACCCCCACCCCCTGGTCCATGGAAAAATTCTTTTCCATGAAACCGGTACCTGGTGCCAAAAAGGTTAGGGACCTAACAATTGCTATATGTGTGTGTGTGTGTACACACACACACTGTTCATATATTCTGAACGTATGATCATATGTTCTGTTAATTGTATGTTTTAGTTTAACATAGCTCATCATCTTTATGGCTGCCTAGTGCATAATGGCCTGGCCATGATGTGGCTTTAATGTAATTAACTTAGTTATTCTTTATTTATGGAAATTTAAGTTGTTTTCAACTTTTTAAAAACAACTATGGTGAAAAGCCTTGTACACATATCATCCAGTACTCATGCTATTTTTTTTTCTCCAATGTAGATACCTAGAAGTGGAATTTTGGGTAAGAAATGCCCAGATATTTGCATAAATGCTAATATTTTAATATGCTACCAAATTATTCAACCAAAATATCATGTCACTTTATATTTCAACTGGTAGAGTTCTGTTTCCTTACACCCACATCAATGCCGGATGTTTTCCATTATTAAAAGTGTTTTCAGTTGTTAGTCCAAAACAGTATTTTGTTGTTTTAAATTGCATTTATCTAAATATGTGTGGGTTTGAGTGCCATTTTATAGGTTCCATTTTAAAGGAACAAAATACTTGAATTTTATTTATTATGTATGTTGTTCAGGATGTAGGTTACAGGAGAAAGGGTGCAAGATGTGCTCAGCCCAGTGCCTGGCTCCTACTAACCATTTGGTAACAGATGGTTGTGATTGGTCTCCCTCCTTCCCTCCTTTCCTTTTCCCCACCTCCTCCTT